GGGGCACGAACCCGCGTCCCCTGCATCGGCAGGCGGACTCTCAACCACTGCGCCACCAGGGAGGCCCACAAATATACATTATTGAATGCCAGGTAATGTGGAGGAAAGGCTGAACATGGATTCTCAAGGCCTTTATCCTATTTTGGGTTCTCCTCCTGACAAAGTAGTGTAACTATGATCAAGTCCCTTCACTTCTCTTCTCTTGATGTCCATTTCTTTATAAGATGAAGTGACTGAACTCTAGAATCGTAACTTGCATGTACTCGAAGAGAGCCATTATATGAATGTCATGTGAAAAAAATATAGGATTGAAAAACTTATTGGGATTTGTTTTTCCTGGATTTAATGAATTTCTCGTGTTTTAGGATGAGGAAAGTTTTATTCAGGCCTTATAGCAGAACACAAACTTTTTATGTGGCTGGAAATCCTTCCTTCAGTGTAGCAGAGTTCTCTTCCTTCAGGCGACCCTGGACACGTCACCCTGCCTTTCACCTTCAATTACTCCTTCGCACACACAAGAAAAATTAAAATCTTTGACACTATATACAAGACCCTCTCAACCCATTTTTCTAAGCTTTGCATATTACTCGGTACCTGCACCTTACCACCTTGCAAATTCATCGTCCCACTTATTTCTCTGGAGATGCTCTTTACATGGATGCTTCCCAGGCAGTGTTCATTCTGTGCTCTCCGCCGAGCTTTCCTCCCGACACTACCACCCATTCATCTTCACCTTCACTGGGGAAGTCCTACTTTAACATCTAGAATGATCTCTGAAGACTTGAACATCTCCAACACCTCCATGCTCCCATTGCTTCTTCTGTGGATGTCTGTCTGTCTGCATGGATGTGTGTCTGCCTCCCTATACAAATGAACTCTCGCAAGCAAGGGTCATGCAATACATCTCTGTTTCTGTTTGAAACTTCACACAGAAGTCAATTAGAAGGTATTTGTTGAATTCAGAGATTTTTAGGGGTGGAAAGAAAAAGAAACATTTATGTACCCGTGATTATGCCATATGTTGTTTTCCTCTTACCTTCAGAATAATTGTGTCGGGTCAGTAACACTCAATTTCAAGAGATTCTTTACCATGTGCAGTGCTTAACTGCATTTTCAAAAGACCTGTGTCTTTAAACATATGTAATTTTTATAATTTTAAATAAGTATTCATCAGTTTAATAGCTATTCTACAAAAATCTAGAATTTGATAGTTTAAAATAATACAAAATATTTGGTTAGCCAATTAACAGTTAATAAATATGTGATGAGTTTATATTATTCATTTTAGAGTGTATATGAAAATTATATCACTATCTGTATGTACATTTTACCCACTCGAGTGTTTTGTTATTTATGAATCCTGAGGAATACGTGACTTTTTTCTCTCCCCATACTTTACCCCCAACAGGCTGCTGTGATTGTCAACAGCAGCAGGATCCACTTTGAAGGTTTGATAAAAGCAGATGAAGATGCTTAAAGATGTCTGTTTGCTGAAAATAACTGGTAACAAACAGGAATATATGTGAGTAAATATAGTGCATCATCTGATTTTTAAAATAAATGTTTTAAAATGCCTAATGAGTTGTCAAGGGTTTTGTTTTGTCCTAGTGTGGTTTTGTCCTGGTGTGTTTTTGAGTTAAAATGATGATAACAAATTTTAGAGATGGTTTTTAAATCTTAATCTTTACTTTTCAGAATTGAAATAGAAAGTACCTTAATTTAGAATGTCAGACTTGAAATACTTACATTAGCAAAAATAACACCTATACCTTGTCGCTATAAATTTTATTTTATGGGTACTCCCTATTAATCCAGTTCTGCTTATTAATCCAGTTCTGCTCTGACTAAAAAGGATGGGTAACTAATAGTTACAGTGATGGACATGCTCACTGGCTACAGGTAAAAGACGAAAATAAAACTGAAATTAGCTAAATGTTGAAAAATTAGTCCCTTCTTTTCTGACATCATATTCTGCTTTGATTACCATGATACCACTCCCTCCTGTCACTTATATTTTTGTTTCTCCTTATCAGTCTCTATTGGCTGTTTCTTTGCTGCCAAGTCCTTAAATTTTGGTTCTTCAAGGTTCTGTTCTTGGCCCTCTTCTCAAAGTTCACTCTTTCTCTGGGAGGAGCCACACATTTCTGTGACTTTAGCTACTACACTTGGGCTGGTAATTCCCAAACACATAATAGGCAGTCAGTAGATGGTAGATGTTACCATCGTCTGTGTTTCTGGTCCTTACTCACTTATCCAGCTTTACTCATGTTTTCTCAATTGCCAACTTTATCTCTTCACCAGGATGGCCCACAGTCCTTGCGAGCTCAAACTTAACAATATTTAATCAGTAGTTTTTGTTCCAGTCCTTTCT